GGTCGAGCTTCACCGCATACCGATACAACAGCTCTCGAATCGCCAACATTTGCTTAAGAAATTGCAATTAGGATTGATTTACATGAATTCCTCAATCAAAGTAAACCCTAACGAAACCACTACGTTTTAACGAAAAAAGGCAGAGCCTACCGCAATGTATAACATCATCCTTTACTAACACTACTACTGCTGTGGCACCAGACACATCATCTCGCATTTCATCGTCTGAACGCATTTGCTCATCAAGTGCCAAGAAGCCTTTTCTCAATGCCTCAGGCAGGTTTCCTTGGGCTGAAAGAAACTTCGCTAATGAGGTGAGGTGACGAAATGAGTTCGTGATTCTCATTACGATAACATAGCAGTCGTATCTCTAGAAGTTCAAAGCAAATACATTGATTATAGTAGAGTCAAATTTCTTAAAGTTCACTAGAATGATCAGAAAATTCATTAAGAAAACAATAATTAGTCTGGCTATCCCAGTAATTGGAAACAAACAGAAAACGATTTGAGAGCAAAAAAAAACTCGGAAAAGATAAAGAACAGATCACTAAATTACCATAATCAGCTTGTTGCAGAATCTGTTTATGCAGGTTAATTCCGGCAAACTGGGATGCCTTTGGACCACCGTGGCCATCATAGACAGCAAAAAATGCACATCGCGGATCATCAGGTAGAGATAGTAAGTGCGTATGCGCATCTTCCATATCTGCGAATATCATACTTCAATTTTTCCAAGCATTACAAACAAAATCTAAACATCTATGATAATGTTTGCTCAAAATTACAATTTTAAAGAGCTGCGCAGTAAGCTACTCCCAAGTTCAAGGTGCTCGCGATTACTCGTAATAACTGAGATAAAATATTCGAATAAAGAGAAAACCAGATGAAAAAGAAGAGACTTACTTATTCGCCATCCTTGCATACATGAACTACCTACAGTGAACAATTCATTGACACATGAGGCGGACTCCTTTGTAGTCACCGGTTCGCTCAAAGTCTGTCCCATTAGTGAGTATCCAGGATAAAATGATGAACTACCTGAAACATATAGACCATTTAAAGCAGATTTTTGACAAAAGTATGGACTGGAGTA